TTAAAGTGGTGGACCACTCGCAAAGAGTTCACATGACTGCCGATTCTAACCACGTGATCAAAACTCAATATTGATGTTTATCGCTGACAAAAGTCTAACAGTATTTGTTGTAAATCAAATCAAATTTTGCTTTTGGTATCAATGCTGTTGAATTTATGCTTTCAATGCTTGTAGGCCATGGGCCTCTTAGTTCAAACAGAGTGAGTGAGTGAGTTTGGTTTTCCGCCTCTTTTAGCAATATTCCAGCAATAGCACGCTGGTGGGCTTCACAGACTGTACAGAATCGGACCCGGGTCTTCAGCGTGACGAGCAAACGCTTTAACCACTAGGCTACACCACCGCCGTCATTGTGGTTTCTATGGGTCTTTTAGTAACTATATTCAAGCGAACTTGCTTTTGTCTCAAAGTAAAATGTTAGTCCCTGTGTAGTCTCCGTTAGTGACAATGTCGCGGTTGTGTCCCTCCAAGCCGAAGAGTGAGTGAGTGAGTGAGTGAATTTTGTTTTACGCCGCCTTTAGCAATATTCCAGCAATATCACGCAGGAGGACACCAGAAATGGGCTTCATATTGTACCCATGTGGAGAATCGAACCCGGTGTAGCAGCCCAGAATAACCCCACACCAGATTATTTCCCGGGGTAAACTATAGGCTAGCCCACTTTACACCCCGGGGGTATATTCTGGACCAGGCCAAAGTATACCCCTCCAGCCCAGACTATACCCCTAAAAAATTATGTTGACAATTCACTCAATATGGTGCATTTCATTTACATTACTGCAGAATACAATTTTTTTTAAGTATTTGTTGAGTGCCTCTCTGCAATATGATATTTTTGACTTTGCGTAACCCAGCCATGCTGATATATCAAGGTTAGTAGTTAGTTATTTGCTTTATTTAGCGTCGCACACACAACTAAGGTATTTCGGCAACGGGGTAGTACAACAGGAACAGATTAACTACGGGCACACTCTACTCATCAATCTAATTAGAGCTGCACCATTATGGAGGTGGGTGTTGTCTTAATTAATACCCTACTCCACTGTCTAACAACTGGCTGTCTAACTTATGGGAGATAACCGGTGTGAGAAGGGGCTGGTGTGAGTAGGGGCTGGTGATGGTGTGAGTAGGGGCTGGTATTTATTTATTAATATGAACAAGTGACTCTGGAGACTGATCTCGGTGTCATGTAAAGGTATTTAAAAGTGCATTTCATTTCGCATCCTATATCGCATTCAACCTTCAACATGGATGACAACCTCTATACCCAGATCTTGAACTTCTACACCAACTCTGATAAGAAGTATCCTCAGCACATCTATGACCTGGATCCTGACACGCGTTTGAATGCGAAGTCACATTTTCGGCAAACTGCAAAGCCATTTCGGGTAGCAAACGGAATTGTCTTTCGTGGTGAAAGGGAAGTGCTCACCAAAAGCCGCCTACCCAGCATCCTGAAAGCATGCCATGACAACCCAGCTACAGGTGGACACTTTGGCAGAGATAAAACCTTCGGCAAAAGATCATTGCGTTATTATTGGAAAGGCATGAAGAACGACGTGCAAGAATATGTCAAGACGTGTCCGAAGTGCTTTGTCATCAATCTGAAAGTCAACACAGAAGCACCACCACTACACTCCATTCCTGTGCCTGCCAAGATCTGGAGCCTCGTTGGAATTGACATCATCGGCCCTCTACAAGAGACAACAAGCGGCAACAAGTACATCGTTGCGGTAACCGACTATTTTTCCAAGTGGTCGGAGGCAGCTGCTATCCCGGATTAAAGCGCGAAGTCGGTTGCTCTGTTTCTTTTCCATGTCATCTGTCGACTGGGCTGCATGGACAGGACAACATGACTTTAAAGGCGGCTCTGAGTAAACTCGTCAATGACCAAGTTGATGATTGGGACCAATACATTCCTGGCGTCTTGTTCGCATACCACATCAGTCCATGCTTCGACGAAATGCACACCATTCGAGGTGATGTACGCCGCCCAGCCAAGCTACCGATAGACCTGAACCGACCAAGGGGAATGACGGCACAGCTACAGCATCTTCACCTAACACAACATGTCCAGAAGTGCTGGAAACTATCATTGATCTACACAAAGGCATCTGTTCCACTGTTTCCAACAATATCTCCAATGCACAGGATCGCCAGAAAGAAAACTACGATCGACGACACACCAGCAACAAGGAGATAGCTGTTGGATCAACAGTGTACATGAAGAATAACCGACGAGTCCAGAGGATGGGAGCCAAGATGGAGCCACGCTGGACTGGACCATACTCCGTCGTCCAGACATTGACCAAAGTTCGTGTGAAGCTACAGAACGTGGAAACCAACAAGATCCCGAACAACACATACCACGCCAGTAACCTCAAAATCTACTCCAGTGACCCACCCACTAACGACAACGCCAAAAGCCCCAGCCCCATCACTAATTCGGGAATTTGACGAGATGGAGTGTGGGCAACAGATGCAGAAGTTATGTCAACAGCAAGTCTGTTAAAATGTGACATTTATATTTACAGTGCAGTTGGTCAGTCAATGCAATGGCTGATGTACCCTGCCAGCTTCAGCTTGAAAACTCACACTGATTATGCTTTGTATCTGGAAAATGTATCGGACCATTTCAATGTTGTAACCAGTGTTTAATTGTGTGAAAAGTACAATAAAATTATTGTAGTATCCTTAATCACTTGTTTTCTGTAGGGGTATAATCTGGACTGGGGGGGGTATACTATGGCCTAGTTCAGAATATACCCCGGGGTATAAACTAGGCTAGCCCAGATTATACCTGGGGTATAGTCTGGGCTAGCCCAGTTTAACCCCTGGTATAGTCTGGGACAGGGGTATACTCTGGCCTGTTACACCGGATCTTCAGCCACTATGTTACCCCGCCGCCCCGTCAGCCCGAAGAAGGGTGTGTGCACATAAATATGCATGCGTCATGTTACCTGATACGCTTTAATCCTATGCTCAATGCTTAAGATGATTTACATTGATATCCTTCACATGTCATTCTGCGCCGTCTGGATTGAATGAGTCATTGTTGATTTTCCTATTAAGAATCAAACTTGCGATTGTCTCGAAGGGAAAGCGGGGTGCTTGCGTATTCTTTATTAATCATCATTTTTTTGTTGATGTGTCGAACATTGGATCGCACGAAGTATTTATGTAGGTTCTTTCAACTTCGACATAACAGTGTTTGTCTGTTCACTCCACCAGTTCACGAACATGTGATTAGCAGGTCGCCCAATCCGATATATATCATCCGTCATGCTAAAAAAAAATCAACATTCACATTTTCTCTTATATGTTTTATTTTCCTTACCATTCTTTATTTATCTTTTATATTCAGGAATCAGTCCGACTGACATCTTGGATATATTTGTGTTCACATGGTCAAGAATATAGAGTACACGTGATTGACCCCGATTGACCCTGATTGGGATCCTTGCTCAGTACTGCCACAGACGTCGGCCATCTGTTAGACAAACAAGAAATTTCCTTTATCCAGTTTTCATATTATTAACCGAGAAGTATGTGAAATAAAACTTCAAAACAAAGTCTGGAATGGAAGTTGCCTCTTGGAAACACCGGCTGTTAAACTCGAGAAAGATGAGATCTTTTCTGTTTACCTATCTTCACCTCTTGCTGATCATTTATAATGGTCTTTCAAACTTCAGAAACGTCTGACGAGGGCTTTAAAGATCTGATTTGAATAAGACTGACATAGATAAATACATAAATAGACTGAATTATTTGAAACAGATAAAGCCCATTGGGAATAACTTTGTTCATTGTCACAAGAAATTCCAAATAAACGTGATGCATACTAAACTTCAACTGAACGGAGAATTCAACTGAACTGAGAATACTGGTGTGTAGATGCGAACACTTATGCGATGTGTGTACATGCGAACACTAATTAGTGATCTGTGTACAAGTATTTGATGCCCGCTAGGCAAAGGGCACATCATCGGAGCGACAGTCTTGACGCTTACCGTGTTTCCTGTATTAGACACCACATTCTACAGTCATACCTCACATCCTTACCAAAGCCCACTTTGCTCAGTCATAACTCACTACCTTTACAAAGCCCACTTTCTACAATTATAACTAGCTACCACCGCCGTGATATTGCTGGAATATTGCTAAAAGCGACGTAAAACCATACTCACTCACTCACGCACTCACTAACTACCTTACCAAAGCCCACATTCTTAAGTCACAGCCCACTACCTTATCAAAATCCACATTCTACAGTCATAGTTCACTGCCCACATTCTAGTCATACAAAGGTACATTTACACGAATCGGATTTTGGAAATAAACAACATGTCACAAACGTCGCCACCAAGCCTGTAAAAAACTCCGTTTGGCCTTATCGTCAGTTAGTGAACTAACTAATAGTGAGTGAGTTGGGTTTTACGCTGCTTTTAGCAATTTTCCAGTAACATCACGGCGGGGGACACCAGAAATGGGGTACACACTATGCTACCCCACCACCCCATATAACTTATAGAGCGTCTGACAGCCTCCGTGGTGTAGTGGTTAAGCGTCCGCCCGGAGAGCGGAAGGTCGCGGGTTCGAGCCCCGACCGCGTCATACCGAAAGACGTTAAAAGATGGTACTTGTTGGTCCCTGCCTGGCGTTCGGCATTAATGGGTACAACAAGGACGGGTCGGCTCGGAGTCAGTATAATGTGTCCGAGTGGGGTATTCATGCTTCACTGCGGCATGGTATCTCAGTGGGCTAGCACTATAAAACCAGCTTAAGTCTGGGCTAGTACAAGCAGCCGCACATACACATACACGCCCATGCACGTCGTCATATGAGCGAAATATTCTCAAGCACGACGTTAAACCCAATTTCACCTAACCTCACCTAATAGAGCGTCTAATAGAGGAAATACGGCATGGGCGTGGATTTCACTTACTCAATAGTTGTCCGAGTAGGCTGACTGGATTCCACACACGGGGTATATGTAGGTTATATTTACCCGCTCCAGACACTCATTCAACTGAGGAGACGACCGACATGGCGCAGGTACCCGCCTTCCTCGCTCTGCTATTGACGGCCACTTCCTGTAAGTGTTGTGTTTTTTTAAAATATAGTAACAACTGTTTCATAGTTGGATGCATCTAATTGTTATACAAAACCAACAATGAACAGGAAAATATTACTGATAGCAGATTATCCATTTGGTAAAAAGCGTATCCTTCGGTGTTCTTTGGCAAACCATGGGTAGTAATAACTCTCTTTTTGGCTCTTGGATTCGGAAACACGAATCTACTTTGTCGCATACTTTGTCTACTTTTCGAATATCGCATAAAACAACAAAACTATAATTTTATATTTATGATTTTCCCTGTGCTATAAACATCATACTGGGATGTATGTTTTAACATTCATTGTGAATTACATTTCAAGATCGCTTTACCGAAAATGTATTCGGGTAGCCTTTAAGATGAAAGTGGACCGTCTTTCTTGCCGAAATCTCACACTATAACATTTAAGAATTTCAGTAACTGTTCGTGTTTGAATATTTCTCACTTGACTATTTAAATTCAGAATGACACTTGAACTATTATTGCTGTTGACGCTATTGTTGTTATACCATCGTCAAGATATTATTTAATGTCATTGTTGTTTTTACTACTACTCCTACTACTACTAATAGTAGTAGTAGTAGTAGTAGTAGTAGCAGCAGTAGTATGATACACAATAGTACGTAAACATAGTGATTAAGTTAGCCAACATACAACAGTTGGAACAACTAAACTCCTGATGAGACTCGATATACAAACCAAAGTCATGAATTACAATCAATATACGCACGTGGCCAAGTATGTCACTTGCTAGTTGAATTGGTTGCTCTTTCATGATTCATAACGTAGAGCTTTACACCTATTATATTATCCCCATCTGTCATGAGGGGCCTCATGCGGACACAGCCTATTCTCCAATACGAAGATCTCGCTACGTACCAAGCAATCTGGGTGCATGCCAACCAATAGTATACAGTTTAACAAGCAATTCAAGAGTGTGTGTGTGTAGTGGTGGTGTTTTGTGTCGTGTGTGTGTGTGTGTGTGTGTGTGTGTGTGTGTGTGTGTGTGTGTGTGTGTGTGTGTGTGTGTGTGTGTGTGTGTGTGTGTGTGTGTGTGTCGTGGACATTGATAACTATTGAGGACGCCATTGTGTGCAAAATTTTCTTTTAAAAAATATATATCCATTTTGATGGCGATAAACTTAATCATTGGATTTTGTAAGAATCGCCAGAGAGGGCGGCGAGCGGCTATATATAGCAATACTCAGTCTACAGGGTGTGCACGATCTTTTTCAGCCAGTTCACGTTGGTAATGTTGGTACCTTGCACATGCTGCTAAATATAGTCACCTGACTCCAAAACCTACCCGTATAGGAATTAGTCATCACGATATTTCGTGATTTTCTAGCAACGACTATGGTATAATCCTATTGACATGAAATGCTTGATATGTATACAGAAAGAACTCACTAGTGCTGAACACAGAGATCATTGACCGAATGTGTTTTCGTGATGTATCTAGGTAGCATATATAGACCAATGTGCTTGTATGGATATAGTTATCCAGTTCGTATCATAATTCGATAAAAATGCAACATGAAAACCTTGCTGGAACTGGGGTTTGTTTTCACATATATCCTATGCCCACTTGCTAAAAATTCATCTATATGTCATTTGCTTGGGGAACCATCTAATATTTTATGGGACTCCCAGAAAAACCCGCAAGTCAGGAACCCCAGTCTCTGGACGATTACCTTCAGAAATATACTGACGTCCAAAAGTTAGTATACGTTGATGGTGGCTAAATATGAAAAATGAATGTGTATTTGTCCATGTCGATGTCTTTGATATAGGTATCCGAGTTTTGGACTTGATTTTGCAGTGCTTTAGCCAAGTAACGGTTTGATAACGATTGTCATTTTTTGTGTCAATTTTTAAGCGTACACCTTTATTAGTTGTTACTAAGTTTATTAAGCTGGCAGGAGTACCTATATGTAATAGAAGTTTCTGTAATAAAAAGATAATTCAAAAACAGCTTATCAAGCTAGTTCTATGTAATTTGAAGCTGTTGGGGCATCACGGTCTATATTTGATAAACTTGGTCAACATGGCTTGCACGATTTTTGTCCGCCAGTTCGTGATTTCACACGGTGATAAATATAGCCTAACTATAGTCACATGACCGCTGAAACTTACCCAGACTGAAAATAATCGCATTTCGTGATTCTATAAGTGGCGAGGAAAAATAATCCTGGTTACATGAAATGTTTATAAATGCAGAAACAACCCATTGTAGGATTTGCAGCCAAGTGTGTTTTAGTAAGGTATATAAAAGTGTATTATTAGAGCGTTTTTTCTCATGCTATCCTCTGAGCAAGGAAACCCAGTCTCCAAATTATTGCGTTCAGAAATATGTACCCATCTTTGATTCTAGCTAAAAATGAAAGGAAAAGAAATATTGTGGTTTTCTCTGTATTAATGTCTTTGAGAAGGGAACCGTTGTTGTAGTCTGGACTAAGGTGTTTTGGCAACTGTTTTCAACCAAGTAACGTTTCGAGAACCATTGTCATTTTGGAGGCATATGTTATTTTCAGGTGCACACGTTATTCAATTATTACTAAGATTACTGAGATAGTTTTATGGAATTTGAGCCGGTTCAGGAATTTAAAAATACACATATATCTTAAAACGCCCCTTTGTTGTAATGATGAAACCTGTTTTCTCATCAATAATGCTAGAGTCTAAACAAAATGGCTGCTTGTGTGCTATTACTAGCAACATGGTAACAAGCCATTCCTACGAGATGAATTATTAATAGTATTGAGCCACCTCTGGGAAGGATACATAAGACCTACATTTTACATCTTTCCAAATGATTTGTAGTTTAGTACACAACTGTCGTCACAAGTGCTATTGTCATCACCAGTACTTGTTTCATGTTGATGCCATTAGATCCAAAATAATACAACTTTGATCAAAGACAATTGTGTACAAACCGCTACCGTTAAGCTTCCAAACCCTCCAGTTATCCGAGGTTCGGCACATCCGTGAGATGGTGACTGAAGGGAGAATTCACAGGGACTACCTCTTTACTTCAAGGCAAAGGCAAGTTGGACACAATAGAAACCACAATGACGGTGGTGGGGTAGCCTAGTGGTTAAAGCGTTCGCTCGTCACACCGAACATCGCGGTTCGATTCCCACATGGGTGGGAACCCATTTCTGGTGTCCAGCCGCCATTATATTGCTGGAATATTGCTAAAAACGTCATAAAACCAAATTCACTCACTCCGTTTGAATTAAAATGCCCATGGCCTACAAGTATTGAAAGCATATCCAATATTCAACAGTATCAATACAAAAAGCAAAATTTTGATTTACAACAAATATTATTAGGTTTTTGTCAGCGATAAACCTCAATATTGAGTTTTGATCACCTGTTTAGAATCAGCAGTCATGTGAATGCGAATGGTTATAATTGTAAACTTGGTCAACAGGGCTTGCACGATCTTTTTCAGCCAGTTCATGTTGGCAATGTAGGTACCTTGCACACACTGCTGCTAAATGTAGCTTAAAAATAGTCACCTGACTGTAGTAACCTACCCGTATAGGAATTAGTCATCGCGATATTTCGTGATTTCCTAGTGACGACAATAGTATAATCCTGGTGATATGAAACCCTTATGTATGCAGAAAGAACCTACTGAACATTTTGATCACTGGCCGAATGTGTTTTCGTTACGTATAGGTAATACATAAAGATCAGTGTGATATTTTACCTCGTATGGATAGCGTTATCGAGGTCGTATAATAAATTGATAGGAATGCAACATGAATTTTTTTCAGAAAACATTGCAGGAACTGTTTTTTACAGAAACAGGAAAACCTTGATTCTATATTGACAGAAGGGCCACCACCCTGGTTACATGAAGTGTTTATAAATGCAGAAACAACCCATTTCTGGGCATAGATTTTATTACCCGATTTCGTAACGTATGATATAGGTAATACGTATTCTGTCTGTATTATGAGCGCCTTTGTTTCAGATTATAAAGCACAATATACACACACATATATTATCATATATCATAATGTATCATAGTGTATAATATATTATATTTGCCATATCTAAAAGATATAACGGTAGGTTTGGTGTTCTTAAAGGGTTTATTTATATTTTTGTGACATATTCAAAACATTTAAGGGATATTTTAAGACATACTTTTGCATCCGGGTTATATGTTATATCTCTTTCTGAAAAAAACATTTTTCAGAGTTATCTCCCCTTGAGTGATTTTATAGAATTACCCTTACTTTCTTTATCTTAGATAAAACACTAACCCTGATTAACCCATGCTTGTCTTTAAGGGGTGACTAACGGGATCGGGTGGTCAGGCTCGCTAACTTGGTTGACACATGTCATCAGTTCCCAATTGCGTAGATCGATGCTCATGCTGTTGATCCCATGATCACTGGATTGTCTGGTCCAGACTCGATTATTTACAGACCGCCGCCATATAGCTAGAATATTGCTGAGTGCGGCGTTAAACTAAGCTCACTCACTCACTCCTAACACCGTTATCAAGCACATGATACACAACATAAAACACAACTTAGAGAACTTTTACGCCGTCTTCATGGAGCGTGGCAATTACACTCGTCAACAAACTCAACCTCCTTGTTGCATATCTTGTGTATCATTTGCTTGATAACGATGTTAGGATCAGCACCTAAACGTCGCATCTATTGCAATTAAAAGTGATTGAGTGGGTTTGGTTTTACGCCACTTTTAGCAATATTCCAGCAATATCACGGCGGGGACACCAGGATTGGGCTCCACACATTGTACCCATGTGAGGAATCGAACCCGGGTCTTCGGCGTGACGAGCGAACGCTTTAACCACTGGGCTACCACACCGGCCCTATTTCAATAAAGAAGTTGTCTATCCATAAAATAGTGTTCCTCCTCAAGGTATAGGAAATGTCGTGTGAAACTGATCTCATGTATCTCGTATGTATTTAAATGTCTTCATTTTTCA